CTCCAGGTCGAGCTGTTGTTCAGCATCTTAGCTGTAGAGGGCAGTGTCACTGGCCCTCATGTGGGATCCGAACCGGGGCCCTGCTTCTCAGAGCTGGCATCCCAAGCCAGCTCTTAACCAACACGCCACTCAGCTGGCCCAGCATTATTATTTTTTTCAAGGAACTCTATTCTATGTTTTGAATTAATCAAATCAAATAATTGTGCAGAGATTGATTTCTAATTTAGCATTCACTTGTATGGATAGCAGCCAAGAAGAGAAGGAAGAATGTTTTATTAGATATGTGGGATAATCTTTTGCTATATCTATCTATCTATCTATCTATCTATATAACATATTATATATATAATTTAAAAATAAAGGCTTCCTTAAAAAAATATCAAACTGCACAGAATTCTGTGAAATTAAAAAGTGCAAGTGCCCTTCTTCCTAGCCCCAATTAAGTAGCTACCACTATTAACGAGTCTGGTGTATATTCCTTTAGAAGTTATCTATGCATACAGGAATGTGTGGGTGCTTTTTGCTTTGTTTTGAAATATAAATAATTCTATGGATCCTTCCTAATATATTAAGAAGTACAAAAGCAACAAATGAGTACTAAATCCATAGGTTGCATTCCCCCATCACATACAATTCCCCGGTATCTCAGGGAGGGTCTATAATCTCCCTTCCAGGCCTGCACTTCAGCATATGCACAATGAAACAGCTTTCCGCAATGCAGCAGCAATGACCGTCATGCTAGTACCTATTATTCAGCTCCTGCATCTTGAACTTCAACATCTAGCAGTGCATTTAACATATATCTGTTAACAACATGCATTTTAATATCATATGACTCATTAAATTAACAGAACCCACAGATATTAAGGAACTAGGTACAGTTACTAAAAGTATCCACTTATTTGTCTAATGATTGAATTATGCCTTCTTTTCTTGAGAACTGAGTTTTTTCCCCTACTTTAAGTGACTAGATAAAGGGTTTATGTGCGTGAGCTTCTCTAGCTAAATGTTTCCCTGAAACCCAGCAGTGAAGTTCAGAACAATGCAAGAAAAAAACTGACCACACACAATGTCAACTAAATGTAGTCCTACTCTACACATTGGTTTTTCAGACACAATAACAAAGTGGTGACCTACTTTGCTGCAAAAAAGTCAAGAATCAATGCCATCTTCCTTTCTGGTTTTGAATCCTAGCACTGCCATTTGTTAAATGTGTGACCTCAGAGATTCTCTTAATCTCTCTGAACTTTAGTTTTTTGTATGAAACAAAGAAAAGGATAATAAAACCTGTGAAATTATGTGTCAGGCATGTAGCAGGCATAAAATATAGTGGTTGAGACATAGGCCAGATTGCCTCAATTCAAATGCCAGCTCCACTACTTATGCTGGGTGGCACTGGGAAAATTACTGAACTTCTAATGATGCCTCGGTTTCTTATCTATTACGTGGGAAAAGTCATTGGATCATTTTGAGGATTAAGTAAAATTATGCATTTAGTATGATTTTGGGTACTGACAATAATGGTTTAATACATATTTACTGTTATTATAAGTGTAGGCCCTCCATAAAACTTTCCTTTCTCTTCCTATCTTTCATTCTTCTCGTTGACTTATCTAAATAGCCGAAAGTAAAATTTTAAAGCTCTGCTTTTCTGGGTTATGAAGTGAGAGGCTGAAGGACTAAAGGTTACATGTTTTTAGGGACTGAATTGCATCCTCCCAGAATCCACATGTTGAAACCCTAACCTCCAATGTGACTGTATTTGGAGATAGGGTCTTTCAGGAGGTAATTAAAGTTAAGTGAGGTCATGATGGTGGGACACTAATCCTTAGGACTGGTGATCTTGTAAGAAGAGAAAGAGAGAAATTTCTCTTTCTCTCTCCCCTCTATGTGAGTATACAGTGAGAAGACGGCCATCTGCAAGCCAAGAAGCAAATTCTCTCCAGAAATCAACCTTGCTGGAGACCTTGACCTGGGACTTTCAGCTTTCATAACTATGAGAAAATAAATTTATGTTGTTTAAGCCCTCCCCACCCCCACCCCCCAGTTTATGGTATTTTGCTATGGTAGCTTGAGCAGACTAACATACATGATTTCTTTGCATCTTCAAACTAGCTTCTTGAAATATTTATTTTTAACAGTTTACTACCTCTCTACAGTAGCATTTTACAAGTAGGGGATGTTGCTGAAGCTGCAGGATATATAAAAAATGTAATAAATTAAGACATGATGAGAGTAAAGATCTTGATAACCAAGCTGAGATCTTTGGTTTGACTACAGTTTTCACAACTCAGATCTGGCCTTGAAGAAAACATCTTGCATTGCTGGGCCAAACAGACACTGCGCAGACAGAAGTCTGTGTGCAAATAGGGTGCCTGAGCAGTGAGGCTCATTAATATTATAAAAATAATGAGAAAACAAATCACAACATATACCTACAGAGTAAAAGGGAAGTATGTCATCTTTGAAACCAAATGAGCAAATGATTTACTTCACAAATTAACTCAAAACCATGTATCTTCAATGGGATACAGAGGAGGATGTTTAGGAACAGATATTAAGTAACTTGCCTAGGTGACACTACCTGGTAAAACTGGGGGTTCAGTCCGGGCAGCCTGGCTCTGGATTTGTGCTTTTTAAAGCATTACAAAATCCACTGGCATAGGTAGAGAAGAAATTCCCCCATGATAATCCCAATAGTTTACCCCGAGCAAAATAAAACAGAATAAATTGAAACTTTTCCCTTATCTCTTTGTAGGACACTGAAATAAATAGGAGCCGTCCCCCACCTCAAATTTACCACAATGAATTTCAATGCCCAGCAACAATGCTCAACATGATAAAAAATATCTTTCATAACCAGCAGCCAACACGGTTAATGGTAAAACACTAGATGTGTTCCCAATCAAATCATTAATACAGATGAATTACCTGTTGTCAATAATCATTACACTGGAGGGTGGAATTCCCAAGACATCACAGCTCTGTAGAAGTTCTTTTTTACGAATCTCCCCTTGATTGTAGTAATTTCCTGAGGATGACAAATATACAGTGGAAGATTTAACAGTGGAGATCTATCAATTCACTCATTCTTACCTCATCTTGTTCCCTAAAGGATTTAAGCTCCCTGAACATTTTGTGGTTATAATAAAAAGCTGAAGAAACTACAACGGTAAGGTTGCAGTCAGAAGACTACCAGCAGCACAATCTAGAATCACCATTTACTTCTTCCCCATCTCTGTATCTGTCTCTATGTCAGTTTGCCTGTCTGCATCTTAGCTGCGTGCTATAGGTAGCGCTGTGCATGGCCAAGAGCAATGGCTTTGGAGTCAAGCAGATTTAGGATTAACACTTCTATAACCGCTCAGAACAAGTGGGGGACCTGAGCATACTATTCATTTGAGACCCTTTAAATCAACAGTCATCAAATATCTGTTAAACATTTATTTAAAGAAGAGTCTTCCAGAAAAATGTGCAGAAAACATTTAGGAAAATAGTCTCCTTTGAGAAGTTTAGCAAGCAGCTATCCCAGAATGCCCTTAAGGGACCTTGACCACATCAGCACCCCCAAATAGCTTACATTTTCTTTATTTGCCCAACACATATACTATACTTCCTAAGAATAGTTCTGCTAAGTACAACTTGTCTGTCCCTTATGAATAATGTACAATGAAATTTTGGTACCATTTAAATTGTACTTATGAGCAATTGTACAGCTAATGCACCCCTTACTTAAACTCTGCAGCAATTAATTGTATGTATAATTTGTGCTGGTTACTTAACAGTCCTGAACCACATTTTTTCCACATGTAAAGTGGGAATAATGGCCATCTCATAGGCTTTCCTGAGGATTACATGAACTGATACATATCCACCCACTTTGGTACTCAGTGTTAATTTTCTCTTTCCTTGACTTCTTTATCTTTACCTTCCCCCTTCTCCTCTTCCTTTCTTCCTGAATTACAATTTATCTTCATCATCCAGTTCAAATGGCCTTCCCCTCTGGGAAGCCTTGTCTTAATTTCCCTGGCAAATAATCATTTCCAGTATTCCGCTCATAAGTGTGAACTTTTCCCCATGATCAATTTTTAATTGTGAAATGTCATTGACTTTAAAAGTCACGGTCTCATTCAACTTTGTATCATCCTGGTGGCCAGCACACTGCAGGCACTCCTGAAGCACTGAACAAAGAGAGGCCTGCTTGCTGTTCCAGATAACTCAGAGAAAAACTCCATGTGAAACCTTTCAACTTTGGCAGGGGTTACTCTAGTGCTAGTTTTGAACTGTTTAAACCCAGATAGGAGACAGTCATTACATTGTATCTAACAAAGGGACTAACCCCCATTGGACTCCAGATAACAGCTTAATTTTGTATTGTTCTCAACACAATTAACATTTTAAAAAAAGTCAGATAGAAACTAGTCAATTTTGTACTGGTTATTAGTATTTTAGGTTCCTCTCAAAATCATATGCTTACACTCTCCAATTTTGTCTCAAGGTTACTTGATGTTTGGTGATAAAGGGCCTAATGTACACCAGTGATACGATTCCTGAGTTCAGGGGCCGTGCAAATCAGAGCCTGCTTATGGTTGTGAGAAACTGCTTCGAATTGAAGCTAATGTGTTTATGGAGCTGGTTTTATTGCTTTGTGTTTAAATAATTTAAAAAAGGTTAGGGAGTTAAATCAAAGATCACTTTAAATATTTTCACTAAGTTTGGTGAACATGTAGGAACTTCAACAGATTAAATGTCTGAGATTTTTCAGCAGCTCTTCATTGAAACACTCTAAAACAGCGTCCAAGTTGGGTAGCTGCACCCCGGGAGGCACAAGATAATATGTTTCAGTGGAGGAGAAGCTTTAGAACTTCTTCTTTTTTTGTTAGCTGAGCCATCCTGCCACCTGTTGGTAGCTCAGCAGCAGCTCAGCTCGGGCTGGGAATTGAACTGGCGACCCTGTTGCTCAGAGCTTGCACTCTTGAGCAAGCTCTTAACCAACTGAGCCACTCAGCTGGCCCTAGAACTTCTCTTGATCTGTTTACTTTGTCTTTTATAAATGTCAACTTTTGTTAATATTTTATAATGTACACATTAGTTCAGTGTCCATGCACTTAATACAACTATAAATATACAGTACATATAATGGGAGTATATCCTCAAAAGACCTGGGTTCTCCAAAAGAAGCTGAAACCAAAAGTGATAGACCTTATTTCATTAGAATGTGTCCACAGAACCCAGTTGGAGATTTAAAAAATGAAACTAGAATAAAAAAAGGGGCAAATTACCCAATTAGACATTTCTCCAAAGATAAGACAAATGGCCAATAAGCACATGAAAACATGCTCAATATCATTTGTCATTATGGACATGCAAGGCAAAACCACAATGAGATATCAGTTCATACTCACTAGAATAGCTGTAATTAAACAAAAACAACCTGAAATAAACAAACGGAAAATTACAAGTGTAGTTGAGGATGTGGAGAAATTAGAACTCTTGTGCACTGCTGGTGGAAACATAAAATGGTGCAGCTGCTGTGGAAAATAGCTTGGTGATTCCTCAAAAATTTAAACACAGGATTATCATAACTCAGCAATTCTCCTCCCAGGTATATACCCAAAGGAATTGAGAACAGACTCAAACAGATGCTTGTATACCCATATTCATAGCAGCATTATTCACAATAGCCAAAAAATGGAAACAATCCAAGTGTCCATAAACAGATGAACGGATAAGCAAAATGTCATTAACTAGCCAATATGGGAAACCGTCTTTTTCTGAATATGACAGGTATATTTGTATCAGATGAAGTGAGAAGTATGTACTGCTTGAGAACAGTGTCCAACTCATTGCAATGAACAGTTATAACAAGTATTTTCAACACTAAGCTCTTCAAAATTCATAATATTTTTATTATTCCCATCTTATTCTTTTATCAGATTAGTCTTATTGCATTTTCTTTCTCTTTCACACTTGTGTTTTTTCCTTTTCACTGTTCACAGGCAATCTTTGTCACTGTGGATTTTCTCTTTGGTCTCTGACATGATCTCTTCCCTAATGTTTATTAGCATTTCGTTCATGATTTGTCATAGTTTAAGCAAGTCCTTTAATTTTGCACTTAAAACTTTAACTCATTAAGTAAATAAAAGCTCTGAAAAGCTTGTAGCATTCTTCAACTAAGTAAATACTCAACAGGACATAAACATTTTTATAAACACATGTTAGATGGAAAACTTAAGATTTTTTAAAAGAAATCTTAATTGTATTGGATCAGAAAAAAAAAGAGTTAGACAGATCAGACTAACACTTTTGACAATGGAGCTAAATACATCTCAATATGGGAAACTTTGAAGAATTATTCATGATTAAAAATCATTATTAAGGGCTGGCCAAGTGGCGCGTTGGTTAAGAGCTGTCTTGGGATGCCAGAGGGCCCTGGTTCGGATCCCACATATGAGGGCCAGTGACACTGCCCTCCACAGCTAAGATGCTGAACAACAGCTCAACCTGGAGCTGGGCTGCCGTGAGTCGCCGGCGATGGCGTAGGCGTTGCCATGGGCTACCGTGTGTAGCCAGCAGCCAGCATGAGCGGCCAGCAGCCACAGTGAGTGGCCGTCCAGAAGCAGGCGACTGATCTGCCTCGCCTGGGAAGAGCGCAATGATGGTGCCAACTTGGGCCAGTGAAGCAACGTCCTCCACAACTAGACTAAAGAATAAAAAGGATAGCAATGTATCTGTTCCCCTTCCCCCAATTCCCCAGCGCTGTTCCCATACCCCAAGTCCCCAATAAAAATCTTTTTTTTTTTAAAAAAAAGATAGGCTCTCTTAAAAAAAATCATTATTAAAAATAACCTGATAAGTTCTGTTTTAGGGAATATGGTGAATCAGATGTCTAGAGAAACCCTCTTAGCATAGAATACCTGATCACGTGAAATAAAAGGTAAACATGTTTTAGAATGTATGGCTGAATTAGCAGGAAAGTAAGGGCTATCTTTGGAGGTCCTAAATAATAGGTAAGCACAAATCTAGACAAGTAAGGTGTCACCTTGAGAGTATCTGCGTATGCCTGGTGGCCTAAAGCAGGGTAGGAGGTAAAGCTTGGGCAGAAATAAGGAGATCTCCACACAAAGAAAGACAAGACCTTCAAAAGACAATACCTACAGTGGGGGAACTAGAAAAAAAACCTACCCTACATAGAGACGGTAGGGCCGTTATCTCTGTCTCAGACTTGGTTCTAGTGGAAGGGAAAGTAAGAAAAATGTCACCCCCCCCCCCAAGAACTGTTAAGTATACACTGATCTTCACTTGGTGTGACACATTGCATTTACCAAAAACAGCTATAGCACTATTTCTAGTCCCATATGCACTTCTATTGTAGAACCTTGCTGTTCCCTATCAAGAGGTGAAGTCTATTTCTCTCCTTGAAACTGAATGTGACTTGTGACTGCCTTGACAAACAGAATGAAGTGAAAGCAATACTGCATGATTTCCAAGGCAATATTGCTACCCCTAGCACTGGCTCTCTTAGGATACTTGCTCAGAAACACAGTCTCTAGGTTGTTAGGAAGCTTAAGGTGCGTGGGTTTACTATATCTGGACTGTATGTGGATATTCTGGCCAACGTTTCTAGCTAACTCAGAAGAGTCTAGTCCCCAGCCTTTGGATACTCCCTCTGAAGTACTAAGACAACTCTGCTGTCTGAAACCATGAGAAATAACATATTATTACTGTTTGAAAGTCACTAAGTTTCGAAACATTAGACAACTAGTGCACTTGTGATTGGATCCTGAGTTTACACTACCTCTGTGGATTGAAAAATCTCAATCTAAAATTTTAGTTTAGAGTGATCTAAAGTAGTGTCCTTTGGGCTGGCCGAGTGGCACATTGGTTAAGAGTTGGCTTGGGAAGCCAGCTCGGAGCAGCAGGGCCCCGGTTTGGGTCCCACATGAGGGCCAGTGACGCTGTGCCCTATACAGCTAAGATGGTGAACAACAGCTTGACCTGGAGTTGGGCTGCCATAAGTCGCTGGCGACC